ACTTGAGAGTCTAAGAGGGAAAAATATAAGCCGGGCTCGGTGGCTCAACCTATAATCCTGTGCTTTGGGAGGCTGAGGTGAGTGAATTGCCTGAGCCCGCGGGTTTGAGACCCGCCTGGGCAACTTGGCAAGACCTCATCTCTACAATAAATCAAAAATTAGCTGGGCATGGTAGTGCGCGCCTGTAGTTCCAGCTACTTGGAAGGCTGAGGCGGAAGGTGGCCGGGAGTGTGCCACTGCATTCCAGTCTGGTCGACAGAGTGAGACTCCAACTCAAAAAAAAAAAAAAGAAAAAGAAAAATATAAGAGCACATGAGTGTTTCCTATAATATTCTTATCAAAAATATTCAGGCTAAAATTTCTCATAATTTTTCTACTTCCCTTATGAAATACCTTTGCATTTGAGTTTTGAATGATGGTAAAAATAACTTTGGTGTTGGTTTAGAAAACAGAAATAGGTCATCATTTTTTCTGACCTTTGGATATTTTTAAGTTTCTAGTAGTAAGTTAAAGCATTAAAAAGGAGAAAAACCGCCGGGCTCGGTGGCCCAGCCTGTAATCCCGCGCCTTTGGGAGGCTGAGGTGAGTGGATTGCCTGAGCCCGTGGGTTCGAGACCCGCCTGGGCAACTTGGCGAGACCTCATCTCTACAATAAATCAAAAATCAGCCAGGTGTGGTAGCGCGCGCCTGTAGTTCCAGCTACTTGGAAGGCTGAGGCGGAAGGATCGCCGGAACCCAGCAGGTCGAGGCTGCGGTGGCCGGGAGTGGCCACTTCACTCCAGTCTGGGCGACAGAGTGATATTCCAACTCAAAAAAAAAAAAACAAAACAAAGGAGAAAAACTCAGATCTCTCTTAACATGAAAGATTGACTTCCTAAGTCCTTCACTATCTATGTATTTCTGATATCTTTGGCACTTTGCAAATGTAAGGGAAATCAAGGCTTATATGTACCTTAAATTAGATTTCCCAACTGTTTGGATACAACAATTAAGGAAAACTCCTTTTAAGTGAAGACTAGTTGAACACCTTTTGATAGTGAGATTCACACATTTTCCATAAGCAAAATTGCACTGTGGGCAAAAACCCTGGCAGAAATTTTTGGTCATCAACCACTGAATAAAATAGGCAAATGGAATAAAGACCTTCAGGTACTTGGTAAATTGAGAGTCCTTAAGTCATCAAAATTGCTGGATAAAAGGAGATACAAATGTGAGGGTGGGCCGGGCTCAGCCTGTAATCCCAGCGCTTTGGGAGGCCGAGGTGAGTGGATTGCCTGAGCCCGCATGTTCGAGACCCGCCTGGGTAACTTGGCAAGACCTCATCTCTACAGTAAATCAAAAATTTGCCGGGCGTGGTGGCGCGCACCTGTAGTTCCAGCTACTTGGAAAGCTGAGGCGGAAGGATCGCCAGAGCCCAGCAGGTCGAGGCTGCCGTGGCTGGGAGCCGCCACTGCCCTCCAGTCTGGGCGACAGAGTGAGACTCCAACTCAAAAATAAATAAATAAATAAATAAATAAATAAATAAATAAATAAATAAGGCTGAAACTCAAGTTCTATACAATGCTCTGCTGGTCACGTGGCTAATGTGTAGGTACAAACAACTCTGGACTTATAAAAGTGAACTGTAAAAGCCTGGGGGGATGGCGTTAGCAGAACGATTTTAGAAAGATCTTGAGTCTGGTTCTGCTCCCTGGATTCAAACTCAGAAACAAACTTCTTTCTACCAGTTCCCTGCTCCTTTGATTTATTGGTATCAAGGGGAGCAACTGAGCGTTACTCAGACCATAACACCCTGACATGCAGTTTTAAGGCATTTATTTCATACATTAGGACTAAGATGTATTTATAGTCCTCATTTTTTTTTTTTTGAATTGGAGTCTCACTCTTATCCAGATTAGAGTGCAGTGGCACGCTCACGGCCACCACAGCCTTGACCTACTGGGCTCAGGCGATCCTTCCACCTCAGTCATCCAAGTAACTGGAACTACAGGTGTGTACACCATGCCTGGCTAATTTTTTGATTTATTGTAGAGATGAGGTTTCGCCAAGTTGCCCAGGCTGGTCTTGAACCCACAGGCTCAGGTAATCCTCTCACCTCAGCCTCTCAAAGTGCTAGGATTATAGGAGTGAGCCACCATGTCCAGCCTGTATTTATAATCCAACCCTCTTATACAGTCCGTTATCTACGTCAGCATGTTTACAAAATATAGTTACTTAGATGCATCTTTGCATTTTCAATGATGTTTTTGTTTGTTTAAAACTGTGTCTAAACATATACTCCCATTTTAAAATCAAGGTGAATATTAAATTTCAACTTACTTTGATGTTTTGTGTTTTGAGTTTAAGACCTAAAAGCAGGGTTGTGGCCATTAAACTGATTCTTTCAACATAAGTATACCAACTAAATAAAAAGAAATATTATCAGCAAGTGTTAGCTTTAATTACCAGTTTGCTCAACCACCACCACATTGCTAGACAGTTTTACTACTTATTAAAACAAAAGGCTCAGATGTGGTGTGATAAAGTTCTCCCAGCAACAGAGAAGTAAAGGGGAAGAAAAGGGAGGAACCAGCAGGGTCATGCCACAGCTATCTTCTGTGGGATTTTGTTAATATATTAGCAGAAAATGAGTAGGAGTTGCTGTGGGCAGCTGGGATGGATGGAGGAGCTGCTGAGGTCTCTCTGGGGCTGCAGGAAAGAAGATAAATTCCAGACTTTTCCCTTCCTATTTGTGTATTTCAACCCACAGAATCAAATGCCCAGCTAGTTACAAAACACATGAACCTAATAAAAATGCAATATAAAATCTCTACTTAAACATAGTAGACTAGCCGGGCTCGGTGGCTCAGCCTGTAATCCCGCGCCTTTGGGAGGCTGAGGTGAGTGGATTGCCTGAGCCCGCGGGTTCGAGACCCGCCTGGGCAGCGAGACCTCATCTCTACAATAAATTAAAAAAAAAAAAAAATCAGCTGGGCATGGTAGCACGTGCCTGTAATTCCAGCTACTCGGAAGGGTGAGGCGGAAGGATCGCCGGAGCCCAGCAGGTCGAGGCTGCGGTGGCCGGGAGCAGTCGCTGAACTCCAGTCTGGGCGACCGAGTGGGACTCCAACTCAAAAAAAACCAAAAAACAAAAAAACATAGTAGACTATAGAACAAATAATTTAGTCTCGTTCTTTCTTTCTTTTTTTTTTTAACTTGAGGAAATAAAGCCTTAAGTTCTGTGAAGGGAGGGCCCGATTCAACATGGGTCATAGCAGCCCGCTGGCTCAACAGTTAAGGGTTGAATTAATTAGCTGGTTTGATGTATTTCTTCTTCTATGAGAGGTACTGCTGGAATTACCATGTCTGTAAAAGCCAGGACATCATTTAAATGGAGCACCGTATTTATTTTAAGACTAGATGACTTTTTTTTTTCTGCAATGAATAAAAGCAGTAGCTATGGCCAAGACTCTCTCATTCACTTGATAACTTCAGAGAATTCCATCCTGGCCAGTACTGAAAGAGAAGCTATATGATGCCATTTTTTTTTTTTTTGGAGTTGGAGTCTCACTCAGTCACCCAGACTGGAGTGCAGCGGCCGCTCCCGGCCACCGCAGCCTCGACCTGCTGGGCTCCGGCGATCCTTCCGCCCCAGCCTTCCAAGTAGCCGGAATTACAGGCATGCGTTACCACGCCCGGCTGATTTTTTGATTTATTGTTGAGATGAGGTCTCGCTGCCCAGGCGGGTCTCGAACCCACGGGCTCAGGCAATCCACTCACCTCAGCCTCCCAAAGTGCGGGATTACAGGCTGAGCCACCGAGCCCGGCCTTGATGCCATATTTTTAAAAAAAGTAAATGCTTTATATTTGTACATATTTCTTTCTTTTCTGAGTTGGAGTCTCACTTCGTTGCACAGGCTGGAGTACAGTGGCAAGCTCACGGCCACCCCAGCGTTGACCTGCTGGGCTCCAGTGATCCATTCGCCTCAGCCTTTCAAGTAACCGCAACTACGGGCATGTGCTACCACACCTGGCTAATTTTTGATTTATTGTAGAGATGATGTCTTGCCAAGTTGCCCGGGCTGGTCTCGAACCCATGGGCTCAGGCAATCCATTTGCCTCGGCGTCCCAAAGAGCTGGGATTAGAGGCTGAGTCACCGAGCCCGGCCTGTACATATTTCTTAACAAATCAAAGTTCATAGAACAAGAGAAAAAAATGAAAGTGAGACTGATAGCCCTATCAGGAATATCAGTCTTGAATCTGGCAACTTTTGATTTTCTTCCTTTTTGTCTTTCTCTCACTGTACCTGCCTCATCCCTTCTTCCTTCCTACTTTATTGAAGATCTAGTGTCAAATACAATAAAGTCCCTGCTTTTGTGGAGCACACATTCTAGTGGTGCGAGAAAGACAAAAACCATGCAATCAAGTAAACAAATAGTCAAATAATACTATTTCAATTAGTGATACATAGAAAAGAAAATGAACGCTGGGATAGGGAGTAAGTAGGTGTTGAGAGTAGGGGAATGGGAAGTACCTTTGATTACAGAGGTCAAGGAAGACCCCTCTAAGGAAGTGACATCTGATTAAGGTCTGAATAAAGAAAAGGAGCTGGTCGTGTAAAGATCCAAAGAAAAGAAAATTCCAAACAGTGGGAGTTTATACAAGAAATTGGTAAGCCCTGAATTCTCCTCTTCAAATTTTATCTTCCAGATTAACTTCTTCTTCTCTGCAAACCCAGCCCCAGGTTTCTTATAACACAGCATGGAACAGCCTTCCCTCGCTCCCAGGGCCTAGCACAAGGCCTGGCATAGACTAAGGCTTTAGCAAAAGAGCAATGGTTATGCATGACCTCTGAGAAATATACTCGCTCTGTCAAATTTTAAACTGTCAATCTATGACTTTAGGTGCAAACAGAAGCTTCTGGAATCACAGAAAGGATCCACTGGCACAAACATAGGAGGTTTGTTAGATAATCTTTCACTTATCATTTAACTTTGGCCTTGCTTACTTAGCAACTTACCATGGCCTGTGTACTCAAAAGAATCTGCTTCATCAGGAGTATCGAGTTCATCCACATTAATATCAATTTCATCTGGACTGTCCAGGTTATCATCAGAGAGAATAGACCCTTCGCTTTGGTCCAAAGAAAGATTGATATTTGGAGCTGTGAGCTTGATTCTCCGAGGATGTGTGCCATTCAGATCCAGAGAATTTGGAGGTTCTAAAGAAGAAAAAGAATAGTGACATCAAATACTAAACCACAGGTTGTAAGCATCCCAAATCTAGAAATTCAAAGTCCAAAATGCTCCAAAATCCAAAACTTTTTGAGCACTGACATGACACTCCAAAGACATGCTCATTGGAGAACTCTGGATTTTGGAATTTGGGATGTTTAATCAGTAAGTATAATGTAAATATTCCAACTCTTCCCCCCAAAAAATCCAAAATCTAAACACTTTTGATTCCAAGCATTTCAGATAAGGAATACTCAACCACATATATGACTGTCAAGAGTGAGCTTGGGCCCCTGTGAAAAACATTTTTAAGGTTCTTTCAGGAAAAAAAAAAAAAGATCTGCTAAAGGTTCTTATATGATATTTAGACTCTCTTCTTGACAGCAGATCTAAGTGTCCCCACCCCATCAGCCTTGACTATGTAGAAACAGGAAGTGGAAGCTATTGCTGAATGGTAAAAAACTAATTTTCAGAGCTTTTCTGTTAAGGTTTGAGAACTTGGCATTTCTAAAACAGTGAATTGGCTGGGCACTGTGGCTCACACATATAATCCCAGCGCTTTGGGAGGCCGAGGTGAGAGGATTGCCTGAGCCCACAGGTTCAAGACCAGCCTGAGCAACTTGGTGAGACCTCGTCTCTATAACAAGTAAAAAAATTAGCTGGGTGTGGTGTCATGTGCCTGGTTTCAGTTACTTGGAAGGCTGAAGCGGAAGGATCGCCTGAGCCCAGCAGGTCGAGGTTGCGGTGGCCAGGAGCGTGCCACTGCACTCCAGTCTGGGCGATACGAGTGAGACTCCGACTCAATAAATAAATAAATAAATAAATAAATAAATGTTTAAAATAAAATAGTGAATTGAATTTTTATGGTGTATACTGCATAAGAAAAATGACAGCTTACATATACAGTCAGCCTTGGTGTACATGAGGGATGGGTTCCAGGACCTCTCCTGCTGATCCTAAAATCCACAGATGCTCAAGTCCCTGATATAAAATGATGTGATGTTTGCATGTAACCTACACACATCCTCACATACAATTTAAGCTATCCCTAGATTACTTATAATACCTAATAAAATGTAAATGTTACGTAAATAGTTGTTGTATTGTTTAGAAAATAATGACAAGGAAAGAAAGTCAGTATAGATGCAATTAAAAAAAATACTTTAGATCCATGGTTGGTTGAATTCATGGAGGCACAAACCATAGTTAGGGCAGACCAGCTGTGTTTTCTAATGGTTCGTGTTGATTTCGCACCTATGGAATGGAGTTTAATAAGTTTGTCATGTTCACAGACACTCCCAAAATACTTCTCTTCAGGTCCTGACAACTCTGTGAATGATCTTCACTGACCTTCCTTGGCTGAGGTATCCTCCTAGGTGGCATTCTTTGGACCCACCCAAGCAGTCACCACCTTTTAAGCCAATATTTCTTGAAATTAGTTCCCATGACATAAGTGATCATTTTCTTAAGGTTCTTACCTTTCATTACGATATGTATCTTGTTGCACAGATGCCTTTCATTTAATAGAAGCAGAGCTAGAGAAGTCATTTTTAACCTAGTTGAAACCAACTAAACAAAAATAGAGAGATAACCTAATGTGATACAATGAGAAATATATTTGGTCTTTGGCACTGGTTGCAGGAACAGAACTCCTAAAACCCTTAGAATTTATTGAGGCAGATAGTGTCTGAATTGAATTGAATTATAGGACACCCTATTGGGGCCCCCTAGAGAATTTCTTGGTGTGTGGTGAAAAACCCCTACACATCTGGTCACAGAGGTGTTTTATGTAGGAGTAGGAGAAAACATTTATTGTCTTCACCTAAAAGTTGAAATGACAGGATTCCTAAGAACAAATATTTTGAAGGCCATCTGATATACCCCTCAACTCTGGAATTTGAATTCTGACCTCGTCCTAAGGAAATTGACAATGCTCCTTTGTCATTATATCTTTTCTATATAGAACATTATGTAAACTGTGTTCCATGTAATTTTTTATGTACTTCTTGAAAATAGTTTCTGTTGACCAATAAATCTGAAAAACACTGGGCTTTTATACTACAGAAATTCTCAAAGCAATGATGTCCAAAAGAAATTTTTTTGTGATGATGGAAATATTCTATACATGTACTGAGCACTTAAAATGAA